TCTTCTCCATCACCACGTCAGGCCTGGGCCATATTTATCATCCGTTTCCCAAACTCTACATTCGTTGTCTCCTCTCCAGGTGGTCCACCCGCACTCAGATGTTCTTTTTTTCTCTTCCACTGATGAAGAGGGAGAGCAGGCCCCAAATGCTGCCTCCCAGATTTGCCCTTATATCTCCCTCTCTTACTGTGCAATGTTATTCACTCTCTTTTAATCTAATTTGATCTGTGGGGAGGTGCTAGATACCCTCAGAGCAATATTCCAGTTCCAATGATCCCAACTGGGTCCAACTTGCTTCCCGGACTAGGCTCTCCAATTCCCTGTGGATCACACGTGGCTCCTAGAGCATGTCTCTGACCGACATTTTAACCACTCACTATGGCATTGGGTTTGGGGGATGCAAATAGGTGACTCTCTCCCTTGTTATTTCTTTGCAGTTTAAAGACCATTTCATTGGCTTGGCAGACTCCAGGCAGATCCATTTGTGCTTGTTGCACTCCACTTCTGGTCAAGAAGCCCACCATTAGAAATCCCAATCCCGTATTCACACAGCTTCTCAACCAGCTATTTGTTCTCCTCCCAGTGAGGGGTTGTTTGTTTTCTGAGCCCAGGAAGGGCCTGCTCACACCAGTGCCTTAGGGAAGGCTATTTTGTTTTTGTTTTTGTTTTTTAATGAATTCATTTTTAGTTTTCAACAATCATTTCCATAAGCTTTTCAGTTTTAAATTTTCTACCCCTCCTTCCCCACTTCCCTCCCCAAGATGGCATGCAATCTGATATAGGCTCTACATATACATTCCTATTAAACATTTTCACATTAGTCATGTTGTAAAGAAGAATTAGAACCAATAGGAGGAACCACAGGAAAGAAGAAACAAAACAAAACAGAAAGAAAAAAAAAGAGCAGATAGTATGCTTCGATCTGCCTTCAAATTCCACATAATTCTTTCTCTGGACGTGAACAGCATTTTCCATCATGAGCCTTTCAGAGATGTCTTAGATACTTGTATTGCTGAAAAGAGCTAAGTCTATCAAAGTTAGTCATTGCACAACGTGGCTGTTACTGTGTGCAACATTCTCCTGGTTCTGCTCACTTCACTCAGCATCAGTCCATACAAGTCTTTCCAGGTTTTTCTGAAGTCTGCTTGCTCATCATTTCTTATAGCACAATAGTATTCCATTACATTCATATACCACAACTTGTTCAGCCATTCCCCAATTGATGGATATCCCCTCAATTTACAATTCTTAGGCACCACAGAAAGAGCTGTTATAAATATTTTTGTACATGTGGGTCCTTTTCCCATTTGTATGACCTCTTTGGGACACAGTCCTAGAAGTGCTATTGCTGGGTCAAAGGGTATGCACATTTTTATAGCCCTTTGGGCATAGTTCCAAATGGTTCTCCAAAATGGTTGGATCAGTTCACAACTGGACCAACAATACATTAGTGTTCCAATTTTCCCACATCTCCAACATTTATCATTTTCCTGTTTTGTCATGTTGGCCAATCTGATAGGTGTGATGTGGTACCCCAGAGTTGTTTTGATTTGCATTTCTCTAATCAATAGTGACTGAGCATTTTTTCATATGACTATAGATAGCTTTAATTTCTTCATCTGAAAACTGTTTATTCATATCCTTTGATAATTTATCAATTGGGGAATTCTTATTGTTGTATTCTTATAAATTTGACTTAGTTCTCTATATATTTTAGAAATGAGGCCTTATCAGAGATGCTGGTTATAAAAATGCTCTTGGTTGCATTGGCTTTGTTTGTGCAAAAACTTTTCAACTTAATATAATCAAAATTATCCATTTTGTGTTTCATAATGTTCTCTATCTCTTGTTTGGTCATAAATCCTTCTGTTCTCCACAAATCTGACAGGTAAACTATTCTTTGCTCTCCCAGTTTGCTCATAGTATCAGCCTTTATATCTAAATTATGAACCCATTTTGACTTTATTTTGGTATATGGTGTGAGATTTTGGTCTAAGCCTAGTTTCTGCCGTACTCTTTTCCAGTTTTCCCAGCAGTTTTTGTCAAACAGTGAGTTCTTACCCCAGAAGCTGGGGTCTTTGGGTTTATCAAACAGTAGATTACTATAATCATTGGCTACTGTGTCTTCCATACCTAACCTATTCCACTGATCCACCACTCTATTTCTTAGCCAGTACCAAGCAGTTTTGATGATTGCTGCTTTACAATACAATTTAAGATCTGGAACGGCTAGGCCAGGGAAGGCTATTTTGGCAGTTGTGTAGAGGACAGATTGGAGGGAGAGCAACTCAGTGGCCAATATACCGGCCAAGAGATGGCCACGGTCTAAACAACCGGCCATATCAGTGAAGAGGAAGAGATGGAGTGAAGATGTTCTGCAGGCAGAATTAACAGGATTTCGCTATGGATTCAAAAGGGGAGAGGGAGGGATGGGAGAGGGTCAAATGAAGCATGGCTGAAACTACAGACCTGGGCACCTGTGGGGCTGGCCCTCCACAAAAACGGAAGTTGAGGGTGGGACAGTTTAGGAGGAGGAGAGCAGGAAAAGAATCCATTCTGCTTGGGACATAGTGAGTTTGAGATGCAGATGAGTCATCTATATGGACATGTCTAATGGGTGACGTCTATGGCAGCGAGCTGGTTATGAAGCCAAGCCTGGAGTCAGGAAGACCCGAGTTCAAATCCAGCCTCAGACTCCTGCTAGCTGTGAGAACCTGTGCAAGTTGCTTAGCCTCTGTTTACTCGTAAGTAGGATGGAGATGATAATAATAATAATAATGTGAAGATCCAAAGGAATATTCATGAATTGCTTTGCAAGCCTTAAGGCAATATAAATGTTAGCTATTATTATTGTTCATTATTATTATTTCGGATACAGGATGAGCTTAGCAGAGTCGGATGTGAACCTATAAACTTGGGAGTTGTTCGCATAGAGTTAATCATGGAACCCATAAGAGATGAGATCATCAAGGACTGACTGTAGAGACACAAGGTCTTAGGGGGACAACCATCCTTAGGGGTGTGGGGATGGGGATGAATACCAAAGGTCAACGAGAAGGAAGGTCAGATGAGGCTGGGGGCCAAGGGAGGCCAATGTTCACAAAGCCGAGGGAGGAGACTGCCGCAGCCAATGAGGATGAGGGTGGAGAAAAGGCCAGGGACTTTATGGTGGCCTTTGAGAGAACAGTTGTAGTCAAGTATGTGGCTTATGCACTGCAGTGCCAACAAAGGGTGGCCATTTTTTGCAATTGGGGTTAAGTGACTTGCCCAGGGTCACACAGTTAGTGTCAAGTGTTTGGTCTGAGGCCAGATTTGAACTTAGGTCCTCCTGACTTCAGGGCCAGTGCTGTATCCATTGTGCCACCTAGTTGCCCCAGGGGTGGCCATTTTTAAAGGAAGTTGGGGGATAGGAAGGGGATAACACTGAGTAGTCAGAAGATACACTTGTGTGAGGAAATCCATTACTTGGAAGAGGGAGGCATGCTGGAGAACTTTGGTGTGGGTGCTACAGAGGCAGCATGGGGTCACGGACAGAGAGCTGGACTTGGTCAAGAAGACCTGAATTCAGGTTCTGCCAGCCTCTGCCCATGCTGGCTGTGTGGGCGAGTCACTTGGGCCAGATGAACTATGTCCTCAGATATGTCCCGAGAGAACTGTTGGGTGGACATTTGGAAAACCAGCTAAATGACGCAGAAAAAGATAAGTGGAACACATCGGGTCCATAGTCCTCAGAAAAACTTACATCTGAGCATGGGTCACAAAACAGAAAGAGAAGGGATCAATTAGTGAGTAAGCAATCAATCAGTTTAGAGAATGTGAGCAACCCTAGAGCAAATAGAAAAAGTTCTTGCACATTAGAGACAATAACATGGACAGATTGTTAAAGTGAACTGAGGAACAGAGGTAAAAAACAAGGATTCTGGAGAAGGGACGAGGAGAAAACCCGGGTGTTGTCAGGCAAGGTTTCTGCACAGGATGCTGTCTTGTTCCAAGCCAGGGGAGAGGGCGAGTACTTGGAGGGGATAGAAAGAAAAGGAAGAACTGTCACAGAGCTGACATGGCTTCAGCAATTAAAGGTCATGCCACTCTAACCTTTTGGATGGGGCCACAAAATTGGCAGAAAGTATCCGGCAAACACTTCATGCTTTCCCTGTGAGAAAGATGGAAGAATGTGGCCTGGACAGCCTCTCAATGAGATGGATTCTGAACCAGTCAAATGGCAGCAGTGAGACAGCAGGCGTCGATGGCTCCAAGACAACATGGAAGGTGTTGGGCAAAGTGCCCGGGGACACACATTTCTACCAATGACCTGACAAAGGCACAGGTGACTGCCTTTGTCCATTTACTGGGAGGCAAAGCCAACAGTGGACCCCTGATGGATCTATTAAAGTGAAACTCAACAGGGACAAAAGTCCTTCAAAGAACGGTCTTCACAGAGACCACTGTCTCTGTGACAGATCTGACCTGGAAAGGATCGAGGGTTACTTGGGCAGTAGGCCTAACAGTCCACAGAATGAGTGAGGTCAGCACCAAGGTGCCCTGAGAAGAGCTTCCAGGAATGGGGAGCTGACTTGTGCCCTCAACAATTCCCTCTCAGATGCTGTTTTTGAGGGGAAGCCTCTATTTAGGAAGGGTGCTATCAGAGATGGTGAAGAGCCCATGCTTACGCTGTGCAAGGACTGGCTGATGGAACTGGGGAGACTTCATTTGGAGGGGACCTGGGGGATTAGAGAGCAGGTCTCACCCCCAAGAAGCCACGAGCCATCTTTGCTCCCTTCCCAGAGGTCTTCCCGTGGAGGCAGGAAGTGAGGCTCCCTTGGGGAAAGCTGCTTAGCATCCCGTACCCCTGCTGCCCTCGCCCTTTCTGCATGGCGCCTTCTAGCACTACGACCCGCCTGAGCTCTGGATCCACAAGCCTTCCATTTTCTCCTCTCCTCATGCCCAAGGGCCTTGCGCCAAGCATGAACCCAACCAGGAACATTCACAAATCTTCAGAAGACTATTTTTAAAAATCGCTTTATTGAGCTGGTTCAGAACATTGCTTGAGCTGTAGCAGCAACAAGTGGTCCCTCCCCCAGCAGCCCCGACCAGCGTCATCCAACATTGGCAATCTCGCGATCGACCCAGCTCTGGACATCACATAATCATGCCGCGGAGAGTGGTGCAGACAGAATATTATTCAGAAGGAATGTCGACGCACTTGTCCAAGTGCTCTTCAGGGTGGCCAGGGCTATGGATGCACATCACTTACTGCATGCTCTCAAAAGAAAAGGACCCTAAGACTCGCTACAGGTTGTACAGCCACCGACACAGTGAAATGTTCTCTGGGCTTGGGAGGACCGACATGTTAACACCCACAACGCACAAGCGACACGTTACATCTGCCGACAAATTCATCCCAACCAATCACATACTTGATACATCCAAATGAGAACGTGTGGCTGAGGTTTTCACGGCCCCCTGTATGTACTGCAGTGCCAGGAGAAGGGGGAGGGGATACTTTTCCTGAGTCGTGGGAAATTCAGACGCATCCTGCAGGTCCGGCCTTCCGATCAACGTGAAGGGCCCCGCAGAGTCCACTCCCAACAGGAGCCCTGGCTGGAGCCCTCAACGTAGGCTCAGAATCACGGGATGAGGTTCGAGAAACATTCTAAAAGCCATTTTATTTTACAAGTCTACAAAGCATACATGTGGTAAAAAAGATCAATGACCTACTGTCCACTGATTGAACAACCTCAAGACACGGAGCTCATCCTTTTCAAAACGTGGCCTTGGAAAGACTTCACAGTAAATTGTTTAGCATTCAACGCGTCACCTACAGGGGATTCCAAGTCGCGACATACTCATCCACAACTGTAATGCCCAGTGAGGAGGAAGAAAGGGGGGAAAGGTCGAAAAGCAAGAAAATAAACATGCTTTCAGGAATGGTTTTTTCTTTGTGCAAGTGGGAAGGATATCCCGTGGACGTCGCGGTCAGAGGGCCCGAGTCTCCACTTCAATCTTCTCCTCTGTTTGCAGCACGTCAGGGTCGATGGGGGCGACAGGCGGGCGCAAAATAACCTCTGGCCCTCCGCCATAGATGGACTGAAGGAAATTCCATGTTTCTTCAGAAATCTGCCCCGAATCTGCCCCTGGAGGAGGAGCACACACATAGGTCACAGTGTCTGGCATTGTCTAGCCCTGCCCTGGGCTCTACAGACAGAAGCTAACCAGGGACATCACAGCAACCCTATTCAGCCAGAAAAAGGGAGGTGGGGGAGGGCAGGCCTGTCCAACAAATCTAAAACCCACATCTACTTAAAATAGAAAAAAGAAATCACAGACACAACACTTTACACCCACATTCTGACCCTGTTCCTTTGCCCAAAAGTGTCCAATCCCCTACAGAATGGAGATGAAATTACTTTGTAATACTTATCATCCATTACTCCTCAGTCCACCTTGAAGAAAGGCTAGAGAACAGAGGCTAACAGAAGCCCTGACCCTTGAAGACAGTGTCCGCCCACCTGTCTGTCCATCCAACCTTCCGTCTATCTGTCTATCCATCCATTCAACTTTCCACACAACTAACCAACCAACCATCCATCCGTCCATCCGTCCGTCCACCCATCTCTCCATCCAACTTTCCATCCAACCTTTCCTCCTTCCATCCGTCCTTCTGTCTGTTCATTCACCCATCCATCCATCCATCCAACCTTCCCTCCATCCATCCAATCTTCTGTCTGTACAACCATCTATCCATCTATCCGTTCATCCAACCTTCCACTCAACCTTTCCTCCATCCATCCGTCCATCTAACCTTTCTTCCATTCTTCCAATCTTCTGTCCATCCATCCATCTATCCATCTGTCCATCCATCCATCTCTCCATCCAACCTTCCACCCAACCTTTCCTCCATCCATCCAATCTTCTGTCTGTCCATCCATCCATCCATCCATCCTCTCCATCCCATCCATCTGTCCGTCCAACCTTCTACCCAACCTTCCCTCTGTCCATCTACCCATCCACCCACCCCGTGTCAGCCTGGGATGAGGGAGCCCAGTAAGAAGGAGGGATCCACCCCTTCGACCCTCCCATTTTGGAGCAGCCTTTCTCTTTACTAGAATGTCACAACTCTCCAATAAACGACAACCATAACCCGGACAAAAGCCACATGTGAATACTGAGCCTGACACAGGCAGATATGTGTGTACTGCTCAGCCTACCTTGTTTGAGGACGATGCTACCACCCTTGTTGATGGCAATCTTAGTGTTATCAATGGGACCGGGGGGATCTAGGATAGCAGAGGGAAAAGGCCAAATGTGATTGTCAGAAGGAACAGGGCAGGTCTGTACTAGATACACTGTAAGCGTGTGACTGAAGTTAACATGGCCTCCCTCGTGACTTCCCTGGCCGCCCCCTGCCGCAGCAAGTGCTGGATTGTGGCTGGGGAGCGACGAGTACTGCAGTGTGCTCACGGACCAGCTCTGTGAGCTGCAGGGTGGCGGCTCTAAATCCAACAAGGGTCCCAGAGCCAAGAAGCAGCAGCCTCCCTGTGTTGAGGGTCTGTGTCCCACTATCATGTCACTGGGAACACACCTGGTTCTAAGGCTAAAGAAGCAGGTGTCTCACTACCGTCATTAATGGGAGCACGGATGGTGGACCCAGGGCTGGAAGGCAAGTCCAGCGCATGTCAGGGACTAGGGGCTCAGAGCTAAGACAGGAGCTGTGTTCTTTCACCTGAGTCATGTTCCACGGCTTGAATAGGGGCTATGAAAGCTCAACATGGGACTTGCTAGAAACTTGAAACCATCTGAGGGCTTGACAGGATTACCTGGTGGGGGAGCTTCTGCTAAACTCCAGAGATCATTATTGCAAAATGAGAAACGAGAGAAGCAAAGGGCCAGGGACAGCCTGAAGGGGGACGGGGCCTTCGTTTAGGATCTAGCCAGCTGTCCCCAAGGGCTCGCCGAAGACACCAGTCAGTTTTAAAATCCTAAATTACCAAAAAATCAGCCTGCCAGACAAGCACAGACACTAGATGGAGCAGAAAAGAATCCTGGGACCCCAAATCTCCACTTGGGGAGGCTGGAGGAGCTCGGCTCCTGACTGGACTAACTGACCTTCTAGTAAGACTGAGAGTCCTGAAAACCCTCAAGTTGGGGGTTTCCTCCTGGATGGGGGACCCCGACGTGTTTGGTTGCAGAGGTGCTCTGCCTGCAGCTTGTCTGGACATGGTCCTTTCTGGAGGGACAGGACTGGACAGGGCACTCTTCCAGGGGGAGCTCCCGCTCCGGATCAACGGGCACAGGGGCTGCCCTTGCACTCTTCCTTGCCCTTTCCTCAGGACCATCCTGGGCTTCCAGGGTCTTTTCCTGAATCCCCTTTGGGCAACCATCCTTCAGCATGATCATACTCATGTTCCCCAGTTTCCCAGCCTTTCCCCTCTCGATGGGCACCTGCTCCATCCCCAGGTCTTACAAGGAGCCCCAGGCCAAGTTCACATCTGCACATCTGGGTCACTTTTTGCTTGTCCAGCACTGACAGGCTGGGACTCTGAAAGCTTCAATGACCCAGGCTGCCCAGAGGTCCTCTCCAGGGGGTAGGAAAGTTGGACCTTTGGCTTGGGGACATATTAGCCTGGGGTTTCCCATCTGCCACCTCACGGAGCAGGCTCATGACGCTGTGGGACAAGGGCTCCCTGGCTCCCAGACTTCTGGATAATGAAGCTCAAAACTGGGGAAACCAAAGGAGATCCCAAGGGAAACCGAGGGCCCGTGTCTCCCCAGCCACTCACCTCCATCTTTCCCTTTCACAAACCCTTCCCACTCTCTGAACCACTGCATGCTGATGCAGAAAAATGCAGCCGGTGACTCCTCCTCTTGGAAGGCCCGGTTCAGCTGGAAGGGAAAAACACAGAGGCTCCAGAGGCCGCCCCCACCCCTGCTCTCTTCCCCTCCTCCTCTGCCCTCCAAGCCCCTCCAGCCTCCTCCTTGTCCAACATCCTGGCTCAGGTCCTTGGTCTCCTTTCCCTCCCCTCCTGGCCTCTGACAGCGCTACTCATTCCCATCGCCTGGATGCTGGCCTCCCTTTACCAGTCTTGGGGTGCGGCCAAGGCGCTGTCCTGACCCCCCTCCTTCCCCCCAAGTCCTTCTCTCGTTCTGACTCCCTTCTCTCATTGAGGGCCTCCATCCCCACCCTCCGCGTCACCCAGATTCACAGCCCTCTGCCTCCCACTCACCCCACAAATCCTATCCATCGCTAAATATTGCCATTTCTGCCTTTCAACCTCTCCCCGGTAGCCCCCTCCCCTCCACGTGCCTAGACCATAGATGGATTGCTGCTGGGGGGGGGGGGTCTGCCCGCCTCCAGTCTGACCCCACTCGGCAGGTCTAAGCGTCTCTCCCCTCCCCAGCTCCATGGCTTCATGATGGTCCAGCCTCTTCCACTCTGAACCCCACTCTGTTGGAAAGGCCAAGCTAGACCAGACCTCTCAAAGCCCTAGAATCTGCCTCAGTAGTTCACATAACACTCTGCAAACAGCAAGAGCTTAACAAAGTCATCCCCCAAAGGCCAGATTAAATTTGGTTCACTACAGGAAGCATTTATTAAGCTCCTCTGGATGCGCCCTGGGACCTCCGGGGTGCTGGAAATCTGTGTTTCCCAAAGGCCGCGGCACGTCCCATAGCAGGGTCTTAGAACGAGACGGACGATGCCGCTGAACCACAAGCCAGCTGAAGGACACTGACGTGCTTCGCCAACGACATCCAGACAGGAAGGTAGCGGTCTGCCTGCCGCGGGATGGCGGCACGGTGCCGTGGCAGGTGCGTCTCGAAGGCGGCTCTTTATGAGGGCTTTCCCTTCCCCTTGTCCAAAGGCCTCCGTGTGCGTGAGGAGCAGGACGGGAGGGGAGGCAGCACCGCAGGGGATCAGAGGACAGTCTAGTTTAGAACATGAGCCACCAGACGGCGGCTCCACCGGAGAGGAAACGCGCTCTCCGAGTCGTTTCCTAGTGACGAGATGTGCGTGGAGGAAGCCCCGACTTCATGGCTTTTTCACTGTAACGCAACAGCTCTGATCTCAAGGATGGAAAGGTTGGTGCAGGCGCCAGAGCAGGAAAGGGGGAGGGAGGGCGGTGGCTGGGTGGGGGGGCTGCTGGACACCAGAAAGGTCAGAGAGCCCGAGGATGTGAGGGAGGTGACCGGCCGGCAGGCCTGGGGCCCTGTGCTCTCCTCCGACCATTTCCATGTTTTAGCCTTCTGAGCAAATGGCAACCGTTCATCTGCAACTTAACCACAGAATCTGAAAGAGGAAAGATCGTTACCCGCACAAACATTTCCAGCTCCATTTTTCTTCTTTTTTCCACTTTCTCCATTTCTATCTGGCAGGTGTGACACACGTACAGGTGGTTGACGGCTGGTCCTCCCCCGTACCTGCACGGAGACACGGCATCATGAACGCCTACACATCACCTCCCACCTCCCTCCCCCGTCCCTCGCTCAGCCCAGTGGGTGGACGCCGGGTGGGGGGTGCCTCTGCCTCGCCTCCGCCCCACGGCTCTGGTGTTTGCAGTGGATTCTCCCCAGGTCTAAAAGTCTCTCTTCTCCCGTTAGGGAGCACATGAGGACAGCTTTAAGGGCCAGGCATTCATCTGGAACCCAAACACCACTGACGTGACCTCTCAGCCCACACTAGAGTGACTGGAGGCGGTGGTGTCTGAGACACACGAAACAAAGCCGGATTCTCTGCTTTGGGATCTGCCTCGTTTTCATTCTGCATAATGATTTTGATGAAAATTCCCAAAAATATGAAATCAGCTTCAATATGGAAAATATACAAGCAAACATTCCAAAAATAATTGCTCTATTTCATAAGACGGCCAAGAGGATGCCGTCTGGACACCGTACTGATCTTTCTTTGGGTCTCCTCTGAATTAAGGGAACTAAGGCTGGGCCTGACAGAGCGACTGAGGAAGAAAAGAAGCTGACTGTGTGCTCACTGGCTCCTCCCCCTCTGCCCCCTCCTTTCTCTCCCCTCCCCCCCCAAGTCTGTGGTCAGTCACCCCTCACTCCTTCCCCTCCCTCTCTCCCTCCCCCTTTCTGTCCCCTCTCTCTCCCTCTCCTCCCCTCCCTCCGCCCTTCCCTCTTTCTCTCCCCCTCTCTCTGCCCTCCCCCCCAAGTCTGTGGTCAGTTGCCCCTCATTCCTCCCCCTCTCCCCCTCCTCCTTTCTCCCTCTCTCCCTTTCTCTCCCCTCCCCCTCCCTCTCCTCCCCCTTTCTCTCTCCCCCTTTGCCCTCCCCCCCCAAGTCTGTGGTCAGTCACCCCTCACTCCTTCCCCT